AAATGAAAATTATAATTAAGAAGTAGATCATCTCATATTTAATTGTATTTATTTCTCTCTTCATAAACGTTTAATAAGTAAATCTTATCAAAATTTGTTAAATTCTTTTAAGAGATTACTAGATACACAATTTTTATATAGGGTAAAGGATTTCTCGGTCAATGGAGATAAATTATTTCTGATGAGTCCAAAACGACGTCATTTTGTGACGAAAATCAAGGTGTTTTTATAATTCTAGTTTATTGTAGGTATATTAATTTTTATCATTATAATTTTTATCATTATAATTTTTATAATTCTAATTTATTGTTTTGGATTCACTGGAGTTAATTTTATCTCCAATCGACTGGAGAAATATATTTCCCTTTTATATAATAAAATCATGTTAAATCCCACACCAAAAAAAAAATCATGTTAAATCAAATATGAGAAAATTTATTCCCCTCATCCCTGAATATCATTCGGTTATTTTAGTTAGTGAGTCAAGGACATTTTGGGACAGTAAATTGTCAATTTATTCTTTTTCTTTTATGTTTAGATTTATCCTTTTTAAAATTTATATTTTTTGAAAATGGTTCGTTTTTTCTGTGGTAAATATAAATAAATTATCTACATTGAGCCCAAAACGAATCAATATAGTTTTGTAATTATAATTTATTTCAGAGTTATCATAATTTTTCTCATTATAATTTTTTAATTTTTCAACTCAAAATAACGTCGTTTTGAGAACAGATGTAAATAATTTATCTACGTTCACTTTAAAAACATTAAAGCCTTCTCAAAAAGTTAAAAATAAATTTTTAAACATTTCTCTCAGTCAATACTATTTTAAACTTTAAATTCGTTGAAAAATAAGTAATGTCTCGAAAAATATATACCACTACAATTAATAGAAAATAACGTGGTATCTACAAACGAATTTGATAACACTCGGGGAGCAGAGGATCTAAACTAAAAGATGATTCTGTATAATACAATCCAAGTGTATTATTCAGGTTTTCGTATATCAATGCTTTATTAGTTTAAGACCTTTATAATCAATTTCTAAAAAAAAAAAAATACAGACAAAAGTTTCTTAATTTTAAGTTAAAAAAATATTCATATTTGTTGGTGCTTGAGTCATTGGGTTTTCTTTGGGGCGTTTGGTACAAGAAATTTTTCAGGATTTCCGGAAAATTGAATTTTTCTAAATTTTTAATTTTCGTATATTATCGTAAACTGAATGTAAAAATCGTATTTCTAAAAATTGAGATTCCTGGATATATTTTTTTTTTCCTCTACCAAATTCCCAGATATAAAGCAAATGTGAAAATCTAGATTTATTCACATTTTCTTTATAATCGACTCCTTAAAAATATATTTGTTTTTTTGTGCTTGAAAAATTGAGTTTTTTTTAAAGATTTATTTACATTTTCCAGGATTTGAGTAGCAAAAAAATTAAAAATTACTATTTTAATAGATAATTATGAATATATAGCTGTTTCGAAACTATTTACGGATCTATTGCACTCATTCACGCCCAGATTAGGCGCGCCAAAGTTAGGCGTGACTCACAAGGCATTCACGTCTAATTTAGGCGTGACTCGTCTGATGTTGACACGTGACACAAAAAAGTCAACTTACAAACCGTAAAACTTTGGAAAGCCATAACTTTTGACTCCAGTATACAAATCAGGTAAAAAAAATTTATTTAACAAAACTTTTCGAGATCTGCGCAATGACACCTCATTTGACATATTCTATGTAATGTCCCACATCGGTTGGAGAGGGGAATGAAGCATGCCTTATAAGGGTGTGGATACCTCTTCTAGTGTGAGGCCTTTTGTGGGGTGTCCCAAGAAACAAAACCGTGAGCTCGACGGTGCTTGTGCGCGGGGCAAAGCGGACAATATCATGCTACAGGGTTTGGGGCTGTTACATTTATGGTATCAGAGCCTGGCCCTGGACCGGTGTGTACAGCGGGGACGCTGTATTCCCAGTGGGGGAGGATGTAATGTCCCACATCGGTTGGAGAGGGGAACGAAGCATGCCTTATAAGGGTATGGATACCTCTTCTAGTGTGAGGCCTTTTGTGGGGTGTCCCAAGAAACAAAACCGTGAGCTCGACGGTGCTTGTGCGCGGGGCAAAGCGGACAATATCATGCTACAGGGTTTGGGGCTGTTACATTCTATCTCTCACAAACAAAATTTAAATTTGCAATAATGATATTATAAGAGCGTTTAAACCCAGAAACCTCCAAGTTTTGAGTTTGTGATTTAATATAAAACAATAAATAAAGATTAGATTTGTGATTTAAATTAAAAAAAATCAAATTTTTTAATTTTTAATATAAAAAATAAATAAAGATTTGGTTTGTGATTTAAATTAAAATAAAATTAAAAAATTATTATTAATAAGGAAAACAAAATAAAGATTTGATTTTTTATTTAAACTCAAAAACTAATTTGAAAAATCTGTATTAATAAAAGAAATAATTAAATAAATATTCTAAATCTCTAAGGAAGAAGGATTTTGTTTTTGAAAACCATTCATAGGTTATAAGCTTCCAACAAATCAAACTATAAAGACTCCACCATTGTTTTGTATTAGAGACGTTTTCAAACTTTAGAGTTCACGATTGGATTTCAGATTTAGTTTTCTTTTCTTATACCCATTAGTTCCTTTTTTATTTTCTTTTAAATGTATTTAGTTTTTTCTTTCTCTTAGGCAGACATAATTTAAATGGTTTTAAAGGAAAAGTCATAAATTAGAAGGATGTAACTTTCAATACGGTTCCATAAAAGTCATAAAAAAGTTATATATTTTTAAATTATTTTTTATTATATTTCTGTATCTTACGATTCAATATGATTCAGATATGAAAAATCGGCCAAACGATACACGATACGTATTGTGATTCAATAACCTTGAACATTTTTTTTTCAAACACTTGGTAGAAGTATATATTTTAATAGGACATTAAGTATCCTTATTTATAGATGGACTAATCCACTTTGGTGCCATCTTTATAGTACCATTCTTGCAAATTCGAGTTGTGTTTGTGAGAGATAAAATATATCATATAAGATGTCTTTGCGTAGATCTCGAAAAGTTATGTGGAATCAAAAAAAGAATTATCTGATTCGGATACCCGAGTCAAAAGTTATGGCCTTATGAAGTTTAACGATTAAACTGTTAACTTTTTGTGCCATGTGTCAACGCCAGACGAGTCACGCCTAAATTAGGCGTGAATGCCTTGGGACTTGGGAGTTATGCCAACTTAGACGTGAATGGTCAATGGTCACGTTAATTTGGGCATGAATGAATGCAGTATATTCGTAATTAGGTTCAAAATAGCAACTTTTTGGTAATTATTTATTAAAAAAGTAATATTTTAATATATTTTTTGCCGGATTGGAGCTAATATTCCATAACTAGGCAAAAAAAAATTAAAATATTTCTTTTTTAATAAATAATTACCAATAAGTTGCTGTTTTGAACCTAATTACGAATATACTGCACTCACTCACGCCCAAATTGGGCATGACTATTCACGCCTAAGTTAGGTATGACTCACAAGACCTTTACGCCTAATTTAGGCGTGACTCTTCACGCCTAACTTTTTTTTTATATTACAAAAGTTAACAGTTTAACCGTAAAACTTCGTAAGACCATAACTTTTGACTCGGATATCAGAATGAGGTAGTTTTTTTTGTTTCCGCATAACTTTTCGAGATCTACGCAATGACACCTCATTTGACATATTTTATCTTTCACAAACACATTTCAAATTTGCAACAATGGTATACGAGCGTTTAAATCCATACACCTCTTAGTTCTTTCCGAATCAACACCAAACACAGTCTTCTGCCTACTAGAACCTCTTGTTGGGCTTCCTCCTTCAATGCTAAGCCCAAGCCCATTGAGGGGTTTCCTAAAAATCCTAAACCCTAGATCTGACCTCCTCTATATATTCATTAGTTGTGGGTGGAAGCTAGGTTAGAGAGAGAGAGAAATTTGAGAGATTTGAGAGCAAAGCTTTAAGCTTTGTATTTGAGAGATCCCTAGAGAAAGTTTGAGTGAAACATCTCTAGGGTAGTTTGATTACCACCATTGTTGGAAAGGTTGTGTTAACCACCATATTGGTGTATTTTGATTCTTTGTATCCATTATTTTCATAGTGGACGTTTGATCTGGCCTAGGTCCCGTGGGTTTTTACTTCTTCATTGGAGAAGGTTTTCCCACGTTAAAATTGTTTGTGTTCTCCTTTTCTCTCTCTCTCTCCTCTTTGTGTTTTTCATTTTTTGTGATGTTGTTTGAAGTGGTTTGGATGTTGGAAATTGATTGATTAATCTTTTAATGTAAAGAGAACATCAAAGAGATTTGAAAAAAAGAAAGATAAATGACCTAACCCTAAGTGTGTGCTTCGACCATCACTAGTAAACTAAGGATTTCGTATGGTGTTAATGATGTTTAATGCTTGATTGATGATGTTGAGTTCAATCAAGTGAATATATGTTAAGAAAATGAAAAATGGATGACTTAACCTTTGATGCATGATTCAGCCAAGCTTGAACAAATGTGAAGTACATGTGTTTTTCATGATGTCTAAGTGAAGTTAAGGTTGTGATGTGATCAATTGGTGATTGAAATAAAGAAAATATAATGAATTGTATAAGTCTTTGTTTATACATACCATTCGGCCATGACATGTTAAATGAGGGTTTGTGTGTTGTTTGATAAAATTCAACAATTATGTCTTAGAATTTTGGAAGTAGCTCCCCTAAAAAATCCTTAATGATTTAAATGTTTCATATGTTGTAGAATTCTTCATGTCAAGTTGATATACTAAAATAATAATAATAAAAAAAACCGCAACATGATGTATTTAATTTGGATTATCTTAAATAGTATGACTAACATTTTATGTTTATGTGCCTTTTGAGAGTAAATAGAGTACAAAAAACAAGATGGGAATCCAAATACTTAACTACATCACGAGAATTATATACATATAAATTTGTCTTAAGATTATAGAAAACATTCCTTAATCTGCAATATCTAATCTTTGTATCTGTGTTTCACAACATCATCTCAGGGCCATCATTCTTTTGGTGACATTTCTTTTGATGTTGAGTTTTACGCTTTGAACCAGAATCATATTGCTGCACAACAAGCAATGAAGCACGTGTACCAAAGCTTGTTGAAGCTACAATATCCCCTATAACCCCAAGTTCAGGATTGTCACACCATTCCAACAACTTGGAAAAAACTCTAGAGTTTCTACCACAACTTTGTCCAACAATGTACAAATCATAGTCATTTTTGTCTAACTCATTGAGTAGTAAAGGAATCTCTTCACCTGTTGCTGTATGCACTTCTTCCTCTGAATAAACAATTGACTCATTATTGTTCATTGCCTTGTGCCTGAAGGAAAATATATACTCATCATCCATTTGTTTCTGTACCCCATTATCCCTAACTGTACATAATAACTCATTTGCATCATTGTTCATTGTGTTCTCTTCTTCTTCTTCTTCCTTAGCTTCACCTAACAAAAGTACTCTTACCACATCCAATTGAATTCCTGAATGCCCTGCCATTCTCCATGCTATAGATAAGGCTTCGCGATCATCCGGTCCTCCAATGAAGATCACAACAATCCTCAAACTTGTTTGTAATAATGATCCAAGTCCACGGTCGACAAAGATCACAACAGAACATGGTGATTGTTGTAGAACACTTTTGTTTATGTCACTTTGTGCAGTGTGAGTTGTTTCTAGTACACCTTCTGAGTTTAGCTCCTTGTGAAAAGGAAGGATAATTAAGCTTGCAAATTTCTCTTCTGCTACGTTGTATATATCTTCATGGATAGTTTCATAAGTTGACACAACACTTGATGTCTCAAATCTAACAGCATTGTACCCTTCTACAAATTCGTCAAATGTATTGGTTATGCTCTCAAACTCTGCTTGTGATTCAGAGAGTTTTTGTTCTCCACCATGTGCATTTGAATTTGAATGTTCCATTTGGGCTACAAGAAGAGCAGTGCCATATCTAGTGAGTTCAACAAGGTGAAGTGCAAATACATGTAAAGGTGAAATTCTTGTGGCATTTACTGTTTCAAGGACATGTGTCATTGCGGTGGCTTGGCAAGCATTGTGGACACAAGCAACAACTCTAAGCACTACATCACTCCTTAACTTCTGTACAGTTCTTAGCTGTGATTGCTTAAATCGAAATTTTGGCTTGTATGTAGCATTGATCAAGGGAGATACCAGCACAGTCATTATTATAATACCAAGCATCATGATTGTGAAATCATATAAGTTCAAAATCTGTTAAAAAAAAATAAACACACATTTGAATTAGCTGTAACTAAGAGCTAATGAACTTGAAAAAGGAGTATGAAATAAAAAAATCACTCCCCGTTGAACCTCAACTTAATGAGGATGAGGTGAAGAAAATACTTATATGCAGTCTTATCCTTATTTGTATATGTTAGAGAAGTATAAAACCATTAATGTAACCATTGATTATTACTTACTTTTCTGTCCCAGGCAACGCTTAGCAGGATCAATGCCATGATGCCCTTAGTGTTGAGAAGCAATCCAATGCCTATACCATCTCGAGCAGACATACCAAAGAAGAAAGTTGTAATTAAGGAGCTTAGAACTTTAGGGATGGATAACAGCAGCATAATGAGCAACATCAAATGCCATTTTGGCTGGGTCACAATCATTAAATAGTTGATTTTTAAGCCAAAACCAGCAAAGTAGATAGGGCATAGAACCCCAGTAACAAAATCATCTGTCATTTCCATCACCAACTCAGCAAACCTCCCATGAGGTAAGATTAGTCCATAAATAAAAGCCCCAACAATGTGGTGTGTGCCAAGAAAATCTGTGATAAATGCACAAACAAAAGTTCCCATCAACACACCCATGAACTGTGGCCTGTCCCATGAATAAGAGTCTGTTTTGCGTTCAATGAAAGGAGGAAGGATAGGACGCACCACACAGAAGCAAAAAATAATGAAAACTAAGGAGCTAAGTGCTGAGAGCAATGGTTTTCCACCACTATGTGAATAAGGAATCAATAAAGTGAACAAAACCCAACCATATGCATGTTTATACTGGATCCGTGACTGACCGTCGATCTACCACTGGTTATTGCATGTTTCTCTGTGGTAACTTAGTGACATGGAGAAGTAAGAAACAAGATGTGGTTGCCAGTTGCCAGATCAAGTGCAGAAGCTGAATTTCGAGCTATGGCTCAAGGAATTTGTGAGTTACTGTGGCTAAAAATTGTACTTGATGATCTCAAAATAAAATGTGAGGGACCTATGAAGCTGCTATGTGATAATAAGTCCGCTATTTGTATAGCTCATAATCCGGTTCAACATGATCGGACTAAACATATTGAGGTCGAACGCCATTTCATCAAAGAGAAACTTGATAGCGGGTTGATTACCACTCCATATATTCCCACTGGGCGTCAATTGGCTGATCTATTAACAAAGGGACTTCCTCCAGACAGATTTCAAGAACTTACTAGCAAGCTGGGAATGATAAATATCTATTCCTCAGCATGAGGGGGAGTGTTGTAAATATTGGTTATTTTATTATTATTATTTGTTGTATTGGGCCAATCCCATTAGGTCAAGTATTAGGTCAAATATTAGGGTTTTCATTCTCTATAAATAGAAACCCCTTTGTACAGATTATTTACGCAATTCAATAATATTTCAAATACCCTTTTCTTTCAAGTATTTCTACACATGGTATCAACTATCAAGTCTTGAACTGTGTACTTACATATGTAGTGTAAAATTAGTATTTCAAACTTCCTCTCAACTTGGTTAGCTTGTTCAAGTACCATTTGAAAAGCATATTATTAATCTTAGGACATGAAAGCTATAGATAATATTTCCAGGCTTTATTCAAGTTTGATTGGAGCCTTGGAACAATGGTAAGGTTGCTCCTTGTGACCAAAAAAATCTCTTTGCAAAAATATAGGGTAACTGCGTACAATCAACCCTTGCAAGTCGTAGAGTCTTATGCACCAATTCTGCTATGTAATAATGTTTTATAAGTAACTTCTCTCATAAGTATAGAAATATGCTTTAAAAATTCAGTATCTATGAGAACCAAACTAAAATCAATCTCAGAGAGCTATCCTTGGATCACCAGTGTCCAATAAAAGATAAGGACAAATAAACATTAGGAAAATCCTTATAAAACTTTTCTTTTGGTGTTCTTTTCCTTTTTGAAATTCGTGTGGACTTGAAAGAGCATGAGAAGAGCAAACGAAATGATAAAACTTGATCACTTAAGTATAAAATTTCCAGTTTAATTTCCCTTTCATATGGTATTTTCTTTTTTCATGGGTTGAGAGACTCCATCAATGTATGGTATCTGCTTAATTATTCTTTCCTACAGATTTTTACTTACATGCATATATTGTGGTTCATGCTTATACAGAATTTTTCTTCTTTTACAACTTGTGAGTGTCATCCATTTTATAACTTGGTGGAATAAGTTCTGGACTCCAGATGAAGAAAGGAAGCAGAGGTACATATTATTATTGCTGCTATAATTCATAGATCAGCTTTGAGTCAATTTTTATACTTTGTTCTGAGGATGAAGAAAACCTAATTGACTTCTGAACCAATATCATGTAAAGGTTATTTTTGTAATCAATAAGTAGATTAGTAAAAACTTAGCTTTTAAAATTCAGAAGATCATGCACTAGATGGTTCAAGATTTTTATGTGACATGAAAGTAATCCACCAAGGTCAACATTATTTTTCCCATGTGGCAGCTGCATATCAATTGTTTTACTAATATATATTTCATAAAGAACTTAACTTAGTCAATTATCTGAAAATGGTATGACTATATACTGTACAGAAATTAGAAAAGCAAACTCAATAGGATAAAATTAATCTGAAAAGACAAACTTGAATTTAGGCTATGCTACTTGGATTTTAATATTAACTTTATGTTGCAAAAGAAAAAGGGAGAACTTGTTTAGTTTAGCTTGGAATTGGACTATGTCATTGGTTCATACCCACTGAATATATGTATAGGGGAAATGAAATTATACCTTGGTGGCTGAGATGAGATGATCCATAATGGAGTGGTAGAAATAGAAGTAGTTAGAGGCACTGTCACTATTTGAAAGTATTAAAGTACGAAAATGCTGATTGAAAATATATTTTAAGTAGGATAAGGTTCAAATACCTTCCATGTAGTTTACTCTACAATCACTTACCCCTCCAATCTTTTTATTATCACTTACCTTCCTTATGGTTTTATTTTTTCCCTTAGAAAATTGCATAAATGTTATAGCTTGCTCCCTTCTTCCATGACTCTCAATAGACTTCTCTCTTCTTCGTACTATATAATATAAAGTGTTAGATTGTACTTGAAAATTGATTATACTGATTTTTCTTACTATGTCTACACCAACCAAATCCGATATGAAGTGTGTTATTTTACTATGACATTCAGATGCTGTGTTGTTATCCTACTTAACTTGGCAAAAAATAAATAAAAATCATAAAATCTAGGCCAAATTACTTAACAACCTATGCTCCTAAATTAAGAATGAGTAATTTAAAGTTTATGAATCATAAAATCTAGGCCACTCTAACAGTTTACTTTCTTGATGGAATATAACTTCAAAGCATAGATAACCCATAATAGTGTGTTTGACATTATTTAACATCAACACCATTTCTTTATGCCATTAGCTTTAATAGCAATGTCTGTATTTTGATACATTAGCATCTTATTGAGTTGGAACAGGTTCTCCTTTGGACTTTTTATGTCAACGTTGTTTTATGTTGCCTCTCTATATGCGGAATTGTCTATTTGTACACATCATATGCCTCAAGATCTTCATGTTCTCTCAATATATTTTTCGTCACATGGACAGCAATTCTGCTTGCTGTTATGATGACTATATCCTTAAATTCAAAGGTACACTCTATTTTGATTACTTAAAGGGAAAAAAACACACTTTTCATCTCTTAAACTTTACCCTAAGTTTCTTTTTTGCCATACAAGTACATTTTATTTTATCATGAATTTATCCTAATATTTTAATTTGCATGAAATCCATTAAAATCTATGTTTTGTCACTTAAAATGCTTAATTATTACAGGTTAATAGAGGCCTTTTATCCTCAGGAATTATGGCTTCTTACATTGTTTTCCTTTGTTGGTGTGCAATCAGAAGGTCAGGATTCTAACCCATACATCTCTATAATGGTTCCTTGGCTCTTTTTGAAGTTTCCTTTTAGGCATTATATCAGTTCTAATCAATATTATAGAATTTTTATCATGCATTGATTATGATATCAACTTCTCATGTTAATAACCTAGAAGAATGTTTACTTATTTGGTTTTTATATCTCTATCTAATACTGACCTGGCTGAGACTGACAAAACCACCAAAGCATCATTTGTACTAATCTTTTTAGGCCTATGATTCTTTGAGAAATGCTAACAACACACTTTTTTACATTATCTTTTCAATAATCTTTTTATTGTTCGTTAAAATTCTAAGCAGGCCCCACTAATAAAGAGTGGGGTCAGGTTATTTAGTAGGGCTAACATAGAAGTTGACATGATAATAGAGTGCTGAAAAGAAAATTTCAAAGAGTATTGCTAACATTCCTCATGAACTTGTGATCATCATTAGTTACTTGTGAGTTCAATATTTTAGTTGTAAAATTCTTAGTAAAAGTGAAAGACAGAACACAGTCAAGTCATTTGTTGCCAAGAACTGACAACCACTCTAGCCTCTACCAAGCAGAAAGATGAAATTTTATTCGTAACATGAATTGTTTCTTTTCTATATGTAAATAGTAATTAAAGGGTGAACTAAATTTTACCCCCCTGAAATGCTAAATCTCTGTATGTACTACATCCATAGCATAATCTTTATTTTCACGAAGTTCCTTCTTTGGAGAAAATGTGATGTATCAATTTGGGTTAATGCATGATGATTATTTATAGTAACTCAAGTAGCCATTACACTATGATTAGCATGTATTGAATTTGATGCTTAATAATTGGAAATTATAGCAGATTGACTTTTAAATGTTGTCTACATGTATAATACCTCAAACTTAAGCATTTAATTGATTAATTTTAATTAAATAATTAAGCATGTTTTAGTGAGTAAAATTAAGTATAGGGCTTAATTAAATGAATTTGAGTCACTTTGGAGTTAAAAAGTGTACTCAGTGAAAATTAAGGGGTATAAATGGGTGTAGGCAAAAGTACCCAAAATATAAAAATAAAAGTGGAAATGTTCCTAGAATAATATTCCAGATTTTTGGGTGAAGTTTGGTAATTATTGGAGTTAAATAGATAGATGAACCGATACCCACTTAAAACCACTTAACATAAGGTTAAGTGGCATAAAACAAAAAAGGAGCCCCATTTTCCCCAATTCCCCGTCGAGAAACAGAGGCACCAGAAAGAAGAAGAAGGAGGAGGAGGAGAAAGGGAGAGAGAAGAAGAGAGAGAGGAGGGAGGAAACCTTAACCGTTTTGGGTGATTCAAAAGCCTAAACCACTCTAAATCTTCCCCTCTTTCATAATCCAAGCTCGGTTCTTAGTGGGGAGTGTTGTGTTGTGAGATTTTTCCTCTCAAAGTTCCGCCCCTTTGTGAGAGTTTGGGGTTTTGGGAGTTTCTACCTCCATGGAAGCTTGAGGAACACTCATTCCTCTATTGTGTGATCATTGGTGGTAAGTTTCCACTCTCTTTCACATGATTCTTGGAGATTTGCATGAGTTTAGGGTTAATGAATAGTGTTTTAGGGTTTTTATGAAATGTTGAGTAGATTGGCTATGTTCAAGGAAGAATGAGGCTTAGAGTATGTTGTGAAAAATGCTAGGAATGACATTTAATCGGTAGAAATGAGTTTATAGTGTTATTTTAGTATGCTTTGATGTATGGAGAAATCTAGGCTTGGAACTATGGATTTCCTTGCATTGTTAGCATTGTTTGATTGTATTCCTTGTGTTGATAGGATTGAGGCAAGAAGACCAAGTGGAGTGACCAACCCTTGGGGTTGTGTGCAATTGAGGAAAGCTCAGGAGCAAGGTAAACCTTTGGACCTTGTGGTTGATCCCATTGAGTGTTCCACCATACTCCGTTGAGGAGAAATGGTTTATGAGATGTGATATGTAATTATGATAGTAATTGTATGCTCATGCATTGATTCATGCATTGATACATGTTATGATTGATTGATGATTATTGGTTGATGTTTGATTGTTTAAGAGTAATTGAGGAATGATTATAGAAGTAGCAATAATGAATGAGGTAATGGTTGAGGATTGTGATTGAGGTTATGAGTGATAGTATTATGATGAGGATGATTGGTAGGAACTTCCCTTGGAAACAGCCCTATGTGGATCTCCATGTGGTTAGAGCCTAAGAGGAACAGCCCTATGTGGATCCCTCTTGGAGGTTCCTAGATTGAGGAAAGGACTTCCCTTGGAAACAGCCCTATGTGGATCTCCATGTGGTTAGAGCCTAAGAGGAACAGCCCTATGTGGATCCCTCTTGGAGGTTCCTAGATTGAGGAAAGGACTTCCCTTGGAAACAGCCCTAGGTGGATCTCCATGTGGTAAGAGCCTAAGAGAAACAGCCCTTTGAGGATCTCTCTTGGAATAGATTGAGGAAAGGACTTCCCTTGGAAACAGCCCTATGTGGATCTCCATGTGGTAAGAGCCTAAGAGAAACAGCCCATAGTGGATCTCTCTTGGAAGTCCATGTGATGCTTGTGGATAAGAATGTGTTAAGCTATTATGATTATGTGTACATCAAAGTGAACCTTAGGGTGGAGTGATCTCCAAGG